ATTTGATATGACATCGCAAATTAATGAAAAAACTATGCAAATTGATTTAAAAAATATTTTTTCCCATAAAAGCTAGATATATAATATGGTTTACATCAAAATGGGTGAAAACTATCCTTTTTTTCCCCTGAAAGTCAGTAAATAGTCGTAAAAGGCACGTAAAGTGAAGCTTATTCAAGTGCAAGAAAACTCAGGATTTAACAGTTGAAAGGAAAAGATGCTTTTATGTTTAAAATTCAATAATAACTATAGTTTCCATCCATTTGTACGATTTTGATAAGTACGTACGAGACATGTCACATTTTCACAATTAAACACATAATAACGAAATGGCTGCACGCAAGACAAAATTCTTCGTCAACACTTTTCACAGTAGATCCGTTATTCTCTTCACATTCGAATATGATTGATAAATTGTTAATGCTTACGATATCGGCATACAACATATTTTGTAGAATTATCACGGTTTATTACGACTTAAAACACCGATATATGACATATTATAGATTGGGCCTAGTATAACAAAGAAGTTTCTAATTTCAACCGCGATACAGGATCGCTACCGTCAACGCGGAGTTCGTGGCTGACTGGGCAGGCTCACTGTCTCTCTTAATTGCTAAATCACAATTGACAATGAGTTAAAAAAATCGATATCAAATCTTTTAATTATATACATATATTTAAAAATTCAAAATTTCAAGATTATCTCTTTTAGAATTGAATGACTTATTGTAACAGTGGTTAAACTACATTTTGTTAAAAGTGAAGAGAAGAAACTCTTAAGTCAAAATGAAAAATACATCCATTCAATCAATACATATCACATATTTGACTACGTTGTAGGGTTAGCCCATTGTTGCACCAAGTCCTCCAATTATGAGCATTCTTTTAAATTACGATGAAGTATCGACTGATATATGTGCAATATAAATTGTCTTTTTGATAAGAATCTAATTATGATTAGGCATTCACCAATTAATATTGTATTATGGCCCGTGAGTATATTCGCATGACAGATAAGATTATTATGAGGTTTTGATGGAAACACTTCAACCGGAATATCAGCATTGGAACAGTCATGGTTAGGCATTGGCGCAGTAATCCTTGGAGATACGAAGGGCATGAACGCTAAGACTGAATGAAACTACCCGGGCATCTCGTCTGCCCGAAATCGCCCATCGTGAATGGCACAATGTGAATTTAACCGCTGATATGATTGCGCTATTCTGTTGCAAGTTGTATTCAGATCCCGCATCACGCATCGATATACGTATAAGGCATCTTATTATTCGTCACATGAATAATTCACCTTGCAACCTAAGCGAGGTTGAAGATCGGTTTAGCGGAAAAGAAGAAAGTCGAAAGAAGAAAGGAACGAAAGCTGCTATTAGCTGCTCCGTTACACGGCAATGTGAAAAATTAACGGCCTCGCCGACGAGTTTCCGCTCTTCCTTTTACACGTCCGTCCTGGCCTGTCCCTATCGTTCTTTCGAAGTAGGTACTATTTCTTTTTTTTTTCTCTTTCTCCCTCTCGTTCTATATATTTTTTATTTTTGTAAATGCCATGCGACAGGCGCGCGTGTTTTCGTGAAATGCGAAACCCGTCATGCGCGCGATACGGGAAAAAAAGAACCAACGGCGAAAACGGAAATAAAAATATACAGTCTGAAGAGTGTATTGACAGTTAGCAACGACGGAAATATTTTATAAAATATATTTCGGTGTCAAATGAAACGACTTCGAACTTTGGATATATTTAACGAATTACATGCATGATTGATATACGATTATAGATCGTTAATGAACGCGCGTGATTGGCTATTTATACAATAAAATGAGACAAGTGTTCCCTAACTAATTTAGTGTCTTATAGATGGACCGCAGAAAACGTTTAATAAATAATAATAATAATAATAATAATAATAATAATTAAAATACTTGCCAGTAATATATATTTATCCTTTTTTAAGGAAAATATTATTTTCACAAATATTAATTGTATTTATGTATATTATATAAATATCTATTGTAATCTACTTTAATAATAACTTATAATTTATCTAGTTCATGAAAAATTTTTTTAAATATGAGAAAAAAACAGCGTGCAAAATGCTTCAATATTTTATTTTAAATGATTAGGAAAAAAAGTGAAAAAATAACTTAAAAATGTTATTAAATAATAATAAAATTTAAAATACTTGCTAATAATGTATATTTATGTAATTGTATAAATATGTAATTTACTCTGATAATGTTTACAATATATTATATTTAGTCAGTAAAAATTCTTTTTATAAAAATGAGAAAAGATCGCGTACAAAATGCTCCGATATTTCATTTTGGACGAAGAAAAGATCTCTTCGTCAAACATTAATCACTGTCGTTGTAAAGCGAAAGTCTCAACGATCACATGCACTCGAAATGATTGTCATTTGTGATATAACGTTAACTCGATGACGAAACAGGAACACATCGGATGATGCCGCGCGCGAGGTGAAATCCCCGCGAGAGCGCCAACGAGCCGGTTTACGGTGACGCGGCAATTATTAATTACGGATTTATAATTATCGCGCCGAACAGTCGAGATGGTGCATTTCGCTCGACGGTGCGCGGCGTGATTCATTCAGTGATGCAGCATCACGCACACAAACGACCACGTGCGCTCATCCGCGTTCGAGTCTCCCTCATCCAGGTGTACAAGTGAAGCCGATGCCGTAGGGGTCATTCATTTATCATTGCATAAGATTCAGAACCTGTTCCGGTCCATTCATCGCCGCTCGCTCATAATATAGGTACCTTCGAAAGTGACTCGTGGGACGGGCTACGAGAGCCGTAGCTACGCACATGTGTATCGACAGTGGCGTAGGTGCCGAGTATATATTTGTTTGTCAAATTACGCGTATCAAAAGCTTGAGCATCTCGAGGGAGCCAAGGCTTCTGATACTACAAATGCGAAAGAATTCATTAAGTAACTATTTATTCGAGCGATAATAAGAATGAATTTGGAAAAATTGCAAAACGCACAGAATCCAATTTTATTAAAGACAGATTAATTTATTAAAAATTTTACAATATAATCAATAATAATTGAAAAGTGTGTGACTCGGCATTAATAATAATTTCTTACTTATTGTTATAAATATAATAATACATACAATAATTATATTATATTACACTGCTCAAAAAAATTATGGCATAGAAAAATTTTGAGCAAAAATTGGTCAACTTTGGTTAACGGTAACTCCGCGAAAAATCATCGTAAAATGATGAACTTTTTTCAAATGAAAGCTTGAAATCTCTACTTTAAGATACTGTGAGTCGATTTTCAATTTAATGCACTCCTGTTGCTGTAAACTCTTAAATCTGAGAGCATGTTTGCCACACTGAAAATTGCAAAGTTTGAACGAGTGCACGGACTTGCTAAAATTTTTCCCGGGGATGCGGTTTCCAGCGTCATAAAGTTGGAATCTTACTCTTTAATTTGAAAAAAAAACAAGTCGCTACGATTTTTTTCACAAAGTTACAGCATTTTGAAGTAACCCTTGTATTTTTCTCAAGTATGTTTGACATTATCCGATGTGCACTATAGGGAGGTTGGTAAACGGATTTTGCACATTGTGTGAGTACGGACGTGTGTAAAACATTCACACATACACACACGGTGTGCAAAATCCGATCGCCAACCTACATATAGTGCAGACCGTATAATGCTAATCATACATGAAAAAATTGCAAAGTTACAGCATTTTGAAGTAACTCTTGTATTTTTCTCAAGTATGATCAACATTATCCGATGTGCACTATAGGTAGGTTGACGATCGGATTTTGCACACCGTGTGTGTATGTGTGTATGTTTTACACACGCCCGCATTCACACAATGTGCAAAATCCGATTGCCAACAGATCGGAAGAGCACACG